CAGTTTGTCTGGCTGTCTATCAAATTTGCGTAAGGTCTTTCTTTTTTCTCCTTATGGTGAAAGCAACTCTCTGCTAATTGCACCATTTTGACTTTGGTCCCTCCAGAAATTCCCTGCAGGACCTGCTCATAGTCCTACTTGCCCAATAGTGGAGTCGAAAAGTCAATCGAAATCATCAACTGATGATTATGTACATGAATGAACTGTGTTTCACTGAAAATGTGTTGGTTGATCTGCAAGAATAACTTGGTTTACTGCTGTCAGCAATTGGTTGCTGCGACTCCATGTTCCTGACTCAGAATATGTCTGCTCTGGCACCTTTGTCTAAATCTTGTGGATATTTGCTCTGAAAAATAGGGACATTTTGAAAAAGGATTATTGCGGAGTCATCATTGTTTTAAACTTTGGATGGGATCATGCATGCTCGCGGTTGATGTGTTCTGATTCTTATTAGTTTATTTCAGGTGAAGGAGTGTGCGGAAGAACTAGCCAAAGCCATGGAACATGAAGATGGAGTGGAGGGAGCAGTGAAGGCTTTCTACAAACACTTTTCATCCAAAAAGGTCAAGTCGGGTCCGGAGTCGTTGCCTGCTCATCCAATGCACTCCCATTCAAGTCGACTATCATTAAGAGGATGTTTTGGTTGCTCATGATTTTCGGATGTTGAGTCTCCACCGTTGACCTGTGTGACCCATGTCTGTTGTCTCACGTGAGTTGTGAAATTGTTGTTTTCCTAACTATTGGTATTGCAAATTTTGTGATCTTACCGATTGTGTCCGTATCAGTTCGCTTTCTTGGATGAGATAAGGAGGCATGTATAGACACTGACAATCACTTGTCATTCATATGCAGTTTCACTTGAGTAGCCTTAGTAATTAATATCATCTAGTTGACTAGTGTGCTTCGTGTAATATAAAACCATTTCGCCAGTCTCATTCTTCTGCTTCTATTATGCACATCCAGAACTTACGAGAAATGACTTAAAGAGCACCTTGACTCAGGATTGACTCCGAATTTGGATACTATGAGCATCCTTAAAGTAAGAGAGTGCGCGTATTTTGGTGAGAGGGAGAGGGAGAAGTTGGAGACAATAGTTCAACCATAGCCAAATGCTTCCCCAGGCAAACTGGAGGCCATGGGCCAAATGGCAAGTATGGTTGCGGGTGCTTGCATGCTCTGCTCATACCATTTGTAGATCTTGCTGGATTGAAGTTGAAGGCATCCGGTCCCCATAAAGCTGAATCGGTGTGCAATGGGGAAACCTCAATCCAAAAGGCTCGAACTACATTAGAAAATTCATCAAGAGCGACCATGACAGCAGAAGGTTAAATACCTGATTCATTTGTACGATGGTATCGGCAACTGGGATCGTGCTTCTCCCACAAAACTTGAAGGACTTCTTCTTGGACGCGGATTACCATTCTTGATTTGAAGCCAACAGCATGAGGCTCCATTTGGCTGTAACTGCAGTGGTTGCATATCCTGCGAGATAGATGTTCTTGCAGTTTTCGATGATAAACCAGTTGATGGCCTCTTTGCTTAGCTTGCTGTGTAGCGCTCTCAACAATCATTTCAATTAGATCCTCCCTGTTCGAATGACTTGCTTCTCTCTCTGACACCACTTGTAGTATGTAGACGCGCACCTCTATCTCCAATGCCCACTTTTCTCTTTTCCTCTTGGTGGGAAGGTGTCTACGCAACAAAAAGAAGCACGGGATTAGTCATCACCCGAACAAAGCATTACAGAACTAAAATTTGACCCTCAGAAGACACTGTCGCTGAAGAGTTGGGATTCAGATTAAGATTTAGTAAACTGTAGTCTTACGATCCACAAGCGGACCTTGTTCCTGGAACTCCGGCAGACAGTCCTTCCTTGGAGACCGCCCCTTCGAGTTGTCTGACCTATGGAGAAAATATATGTTTTCGTTTTGAGCAAGTGCTTCTGAAACAGGCTCTGAAGATGACATCTCCAAAGAAGCTATTTATGTAATCGTCATTCTTTATGTCTGCAGTTCCACCACCTGCTTCAATCCTACTTGTCCAATAATCAATCAGTAAACTTGCAGATCCGGCAATTGAATCAATCTTGGTCTGAGCATGTGTTAATCCTACTTTTCCCATGTGAAAGGATGTGCAGTTGGCGACCTCCTCACCATATCTAGTTGGCTCATGTATAATAGCTCTATGTCAATCTTTACGTCCACCTCCGCAAACATTTTAGAGCGAATAAACTATCTATTTTGCAGGTGGAAGGAGCATCCCAATCTCAATAATGATGGGTTGATCAGAGGCTACAAAAGAGGAATACCTAGTTGAAATGCAAAAGAAAAAAAAAGGCTCGCTGAAATCATAAGCAGACTTTTAAAATGGTCGTTGTTCGGATTTAAGGAGTTGCTTGATCTTGGACTTAGTTTCTTACTCACTTGACAGTAGCATGATGGCGAAAGCGCTTCCAACCCTCATGGTACATAATATCTGGTGGCCATATTTCTTGTTCATTCATGTTACTAGAGGGAATATGGGGAGGTTCCTGATCACTGTAAACTGTGAAGAACCAGGTTCTACTTACGCTGTATGTAAGCTGTCGATGCATCTAGAATTTCCAGTGACAAGGTTAGTGGGATTCTCACGTACTATAGAAGAGATGACTGTCAATTGGTGTGACTTGGCAACTCACCGCATTGTCTCTTTCACTGCCGAAACAAGGAACAGATAATACCTGCAAAATTGTGGGAAATTGAAGTGCCACCAGGGGAATGCTTGTTACTCGTTTTGCTTTCTTCTAGCCCCTACTATTCCCAAGCAGAAATGATGACGGCAGTCCGCTGATACCCTGCTTCCTCAGGCAATGACCTGAGCCTCTCTGGTTTCACCATAACCACATTGTATGCAATTGCTAACAATCCTAAAGCAGTTGCCACTGCAACTATCAACATTCCAAGAAATTTTTCCTCCATGGCCTAACTCCAGTGTATGCGTTTATTCCTTTAAGTGACTAATTGCGAAGGGCTGTTTGTTCTTTACTGGGATGCTGATTTATATAGAGCAGGAAGTCAAATTAAAAGCGATGGCAAAGTGATGAACTAGTATCTGAAACTTAGGAGATTAGTTTGATACCGAGTGCTGCTTACATTGATTTGCATCTATGTTGCCATTAATGTCTGCTCATGTTAGAGCATGGAGTATCTGTCTAAGGAGGTAGAATATGTGATATGATGCACTGTCCTCTATTGGGTTGGTCAGTCATTATCTGATTCAATTGGACTGGAAGAACGAGGCAACAGAACTAGCAGTTTCAGGTTCAGTTGTGGCTGTTTCTCTTGAAATCTTGGATTTAATCGAAAAGCGAATGCTATCCCACTGCTCTCATTGTGTATTACCCATTTCTTTATGGATACTATCCATAGTCTTCTAAGCATAATATACTCGAGAAGTGGTTGAATTGTTAATCGCACAAGCTGCGGGTATGCTTTGCACAAAAGACGTAATCAAATCATGCTCAAGAGTGTTAATATAGTATTGCTGAATAAAACACGAACTTCTCAACTGGAGGGTTGGCATACACTTCCTATACTTATCAAAAGACCCAAAGAATCTAGATCAGAGAACTTCGATGTTTTATACTGTGTGATCTTGTCCATTGGTCGAACTACCAAAAGTTTGAGTAGTAGTTGGAGCTAAAGTATGAGTAGGCCGGCATTTAAGCGAGGACATACGGCGTATTTTCTTTTAGCTGTAAATATCTGACATAATTTGAGACACGAACCTCAGACTCAAATAGTGACTCTATAAGAAAGAAAAGAAGAAAAAACAAAGAGTCACCAGACAGGATGGATGATGGATGTCTTTGTTAAGCATCACTAATCACAGTGTTAGTCCTTAGAAATAAATCTTCTTACTCTGGTATATATCCTAGCACAGCGAGAAAGCCTCACAAGGACGTAAACACATTTCAAAGTATTCTGAATTTGATAAAGGAGGATTTTCTTAGGAAGAGTTCAGCTTGTTCAGAAAGCAGAAGTAAAGTAGAATTAATACATCATTGAAATTCTTTATGATTTTTAGAACATTGTACAAGAAGATGGTGGATCTTAGTTCTGACGAAGTGATGCTGTTCAGGTTCATTTTGTAAAAAGTTCTCAGCAAATGGGCATGTAACGTATATCCACCTTGTCCTGGTTGACTGATCAATAGAGCTTAACTCATTTGAAAAAAACAATGCTCACCTTGAGAATTGAAACTTTGCATATTCAATGTGCAATTTTAAATTTTTTTGCGGTATACAACCCACTTTATGGGAGAAGTAAGTTCCAAAAGACGTGGGAATGAGTTGAAGAGTTGATATTCACATGAGATTATGGTCTTAGGACACAGGCAATGTTGGTACCTTGAGTATCAATCATTCATCAATGACCATCATCAGTCATGGGTATATCCATCTACGTCAGTCATTGAATCAATCTTGAATCTCTGTGATGCTAGGGGTCATTTTTGCCTGCCAAATATGTACTAAGGGAAGTGCCACATCTCCCTCCTTTTCCTTTTTCAGTATTCTTCTGTTAAATGGAAATAGTCCACAAGTATCTGACCTTCAATCAAAATTAGTAAGATTAAGATCATGTCAATATAACCCTGAGGATCGCAAACTCGTCAAGAAAAGTTCTAAAATTCTGATGTAGTGTTGTCAACAAACACCCAATCGCGAACTGGGTCTACGAAGTTTCTAAAACCCAATCGTGTTGATAAATTATCGCACCGTAAAAACAATTGACTAGAAAGGAAAAGCACAATATATTGAAAAGAAAAGAGAATTAAAATAGGTATAGTGAGCCAAAGAGAGTTGAACCCTGAACATGAAGGAGTATTCTGGACAGACGACGGACTGAATGCTCACAAGGACTTGCTTTGATCAGAAAAAGAGAACAGTTACTTTGATTATATTGATAATAGAGAAGTGAATTTGGAATTTGATATGCGCAGACAGAACCTATAAATCCTGATTAATTAATCGGCTTCAAACAATCATTCAAATTCCTTGGAGATAAATAGTTACAATGTTACTTCAAATCACTGATAAAGGAAGAAAACAATTCAAAGGTCTTGCCACTTACAGACAGAACAAAGCCTTATTAACACAAGGAATGGTAAAGTCTTTCATCATTGGAATGAGCATATTGATATTATTTAAACAGGAATGCACTTTGAATTCAGTTGTTGGACTTCATGGCACGTTGAGCTTTGTCTGCATTTGTTTTGACAGATTGTTTTGCATCTTCAACTTTGTCCAGAACAGTCTCTTTGGCCTTTTGGGCTGTCTCTTTAGCTGAATCCCATGCATTCTGCACGGTTTGCTTTGCTTTCTCGGTGGCATCATGCGTCGCTTCTGATACGTTGGACGCCATGTCCTTTGACTTCTGACTCACCTGAATTAAGTTTCATAAATAAAGCACATCAATGAGATTATCAGAAATGCCTAGGTAAGCATAATGTATATCTAAAGTTTACATCTTCAGTCATGGAGGCAGCTATATTTTTTATGTTTTCACCGGTTTTTTCGGCTTTGTCCACTCCTTGTTTCACTGTCTCTGCGGATGCCTCTTGACGCGAACTTGCCTGCAATAATATTGACAGGAGTTAGATTATTGTTCTGATTTCGTACTAGTATATGCTGTGGCTCGTGAAAGCATTTACCGGCAAAACACAAATTCGGCAACTCGAAATTTCGCATATCTTAGAGAATCATTTTCTTTGGTTTACCTAAAACCGAGACTAAATTGCATGCCACATTACAAAGGCTTACTTGAATGGACCTTCGGCCGGCGGGCAGAACAACCACATTGGTTTTCCGGGCGGAACTTCTTCTTGCAAGTGCAGCCCCAGAATTTCCTAACTTTGAGAATGAAGTTCCCGTGCTCATGTTTAAGATCGCCATATTTTCCTACCCTCTATTTGCTCCCTTTTCTAGAATGAATTTTTCTCGTCTCTTAGGACAGAGAACTGCTGAAGGATAGACTATATAAAGAAGCAGGAGAGAGAGAGAGAGAGAGAGAGAGAGAGAGAGAGAGAGAGAGAGAGAGAGAGAGAGAGAGAGAGAGAGATTGTTGTGGATCTTTGTATTCAACAGAAAGGAGCGTGCTTACCGCAGGCGAATGGTTGATGTTATTGCCATTCAAAGACTGTTCCTTTGGGTCAAAACTAGGACCCTGCAATTCAGGACATGCAGTTAAGACCGAGCAATTTCGAGTCTCCACATATAGATGAAGAATTATTAGGGAGCAGGTCTGAATCTATTGATCTCACAATGTATGATGAGGTAAACCATCATGGAGGGGTTTTCTACACCATGTAACATCAAACAGTATTAGGACAAACACAAACAGACGACAGATAAACAATGTGAATCCATCGGTGCTTTCTTTGTTATATGAAGGTGGAGAAGAGAGAATTCCTACACTACCGTACCTTGTTTAGTGGGAAGTACGAAACTTCCTCTAGAAGTTAAAAGAACTGTGCCATAACTTGGCCGGAAAGGTCGACTTAGACTGATCATGACGAGCGGCACTGTGCTAACTATTGGAATTGTTGAGACGAAGTGGGAAAAAAAACTTGGTTCGATTGTTTCGCCGAAAATTTTTAGCCTAAAACATTTTTCTTATTTTTTGATAGTTAGATCGCTTAGGAAAATGAGTCACTGAAAAATCTTTCATGGTCTATGGAAAATTTATGCTTAAATTTAAGAAAATGATTTCTTCTTTTGAAAATCATTCGAAAATCATTTTACATATTACGGTTGGATAACGAGCTTGGACTAGATGCCTCAACCCTCGTGTTTGGGTCCTCTACGGTTGAGCCTGGGTCCTAGAGGCCGATCACAGGTCTAGAGAGGCCAGAACCGGTCCATAGGGGCTAGTCCTGGGACCCTAATGCTCGTGCTCGGGTCCTTGGCGACCGTGACCAAGTCCCCTGTGGCCATGCCTAGGTACCCGAATTTTGAGGTCCGAGTCCATTGAGGCTGGGATCAATTCCTTGGTGGCCGAGCCCGGGTTCACAAAGGCTAGGCCTAGGTCCCTTGAGGATAGGCCAAAGACCTCAGTGCACGGGTCCTTGGTGGCAATGCCCCGTATACTTGGCTTCTGCACCCAAATCACTGGCACTCTGACTCGAGTCCACAGAGGCCGGGATTGAGACTTTGTTACCCATGGCCGGGTCTTCGGTGGCCATTCCCAAGTACTCGACTCCCACATCCAAGTCCCCTATGCCTGGGCCCAAGTCCATCAAGACGGGGCTGGGGTATCCGGCTTTCGCACCCAAATCACTGGCCCCTAGTTTGGGTCTCTCGAGGCCAAGCCCGGGACTCTGGTCCGGCACTTGGGCTTGGGTCCATCAAGGCAAAGCCCGGTTGCTCGACGGTCAGACCTAGGTCCTTTGAAGCTGCGTCCAAGATCTCGGTGTTCATGTTCAGGTCCATGACAACTGTGCCTAAGTACCCAGCTCGCACAAACTACACCTGGTTCATGAAAGCTGAGAACAAGTCTCTCGAGGCTAGCCTGGAGACCCTAGTGCCCATGCTTGAGTGTCCTTGTAGCCATGCCCAGGACCTCGATCCCTGAGCCCGGGTCCCCAGGCCATGCCTGCGTACGCAGCTCCTACACCCAAGTCACCAGCTCCTAGGCTCGGTTCCTTGGCGGCCGGGCCCAAGACCTAAGTGCCCATACGCGGGTTCTAGGTGGCTAGGTAGAAAAATCAAGTTTACTTTTTTAAACGGCGAAAAATGGTTTTTAGTTCATTTTTAGATTTAAGTTAAATATAAAAAAAATATTATTATTTTTTTAGAAAAAGATTTATTGAAAAACATTTTTAAGAAATGTCGATACAAATAGAGCCCAAGAAGGAAAGATTCGAAGTGGAGACTGATCTGGAAATAGAGAAGCCAGGCAAAGAAATGAGAAAGAATACTGCTGGAGACCAAATATTACCAGCCATAAGGCCCATATCAAGAGATAGCATGCTTTTTAATACTGTTGAATTTCATTTGGTTTCATAGAAGTACCAATGCGATTGCGAATTTGGATTGCAGTTACCTAGTTTTGAGCATCCCGCCTCTGTTTCTCTCTTTCCTCCCCATGGCTATTATTAGAGGTGTCAAAATGCCCATATTCAATTAGTTGGGTCATATATGGTTTAGCAACCGAAGCATGCTGCCAAAGGCGGTTTACGCGTGCCCGCGCGTGGTGGTGCCATGCCCGCGCGTGGCGGTGCACGCCGACTCCGCCGCAGCGGGTGGCTGCACGTGGTGGTGCATGCGGCCTCTGCCGGAGGCACTCCACCCACAGAAACGCTCATCTCGACGAGATGAGTCCGAATATGTGATCAAAATCAATTGTCATCGGACAAAAATTCCGAAAACAGGACAAATCCAAGAGTTTGGGTTCTAGACTATGGAGGCTCTGACACCACATGTTGGCCGTCGTAAACGGCACTCCAAGAACACCATAGCTAAAAACAAGAAACAAAGTAATGAATTAAAGAGATTTGTGCACCTGATTTAGAATCCATCGTTCTTAATATCTAAAGCTCAAGTGCTTCTCCTCTATTACCCTTTGAATCACTAGCTCAATGAGATTGCCCTTTACGACGCAATTCTATAACTGATCTTTATGTGAGGTTGCTTTTGCATTAGGGTTAGAGGAGAGACTTCAACTCTATTTATAGAGTTTTCAATCAGGCCCTCTCATCACGGGTCGAGCTCAATTCGGACTACATAAGCCATACCCATATTAGACTAATTAAGAATCTATATATCTTATATTATTAGACTAAGCCTGTAAAATGGTAAATTACAATCTCAATTAATGTAGCATACATCAGAAAAACTCTTACAATGCTTGCATCTTGTAATGCAGCCGGTAGCGACTTCGTGACGATGAGTGATATTTTGTCAAAATTTCTTCCAAGTATTCAACAATATCCTAAATATGGAGGCATAATGCTTTAGTCAAGGTACTCCAATGACCAAACTGGATATAGTCACGCTATGTTTGACTTTCAAATGTGCTGCTCTAACAAACAAACTTGTCTCTTTTCATATGTGTTGGTATAATCATTAATAATAAGTTGCCTACTTCGCCTTTTTATAGTTTCTGTAATTTCGAAATTGTTTTGTGTACTTTGGTAATTGGAGAAGAGAAAGCGTCACCTTTATAGGCAAGACTCTGAAATCGTAGCTCAAACTTACGCAAAACTGTTAACGGTTGGATTGCAATGACCGGCGCGATTGATCATGGATGGTTGGCCATTGCTGAAAGTCGGGAAAAAAGCTATGTTGAGGATGTCGTAGTTGCCCGTGGCACAAGTCTCTCCCAAGGTACCTTCATTTCCATTTTGGCCCCAGCATATCACAATGCATCCAACATTGTTGCCGACAACTAACATAAGAACACAAGAGCATAGAAATGCTAAATCTATTGAGAATTCCCGCATCATTTTGCCACAAACTCCGGACCGCCCATACATACGAGGAGCGCGTGATAATCTAGAGTTAGTCTAGTTCGTTGTCAAGCGATTTGAATACTTCAACACCCGTCTCACGTGCAAGTTACGTGCAGGTTTCGTGCAAGCCACGTGCAAGTCACAAAGGGGTACTTCCTAATACACGTGGCCACCGGTATATATGAGGAGTACGTTACAATTTCGAATAACAAAAAATATCTTATGATGACCGGAGATGGCATTAACCGGACGATGATCACCGGATGTCGGAGCGTGGTCGATGGTTGGGCCATGGTCACCTACGCAACATTCAGTTGACTTCTTCATTTTGATAAAGAGTTATATTATGATTTAATTAGTAAACCCACTTAGCGGAGTACTCTTCTATAGCATTTTTATTGTATAATTTATCTTACCAATTCATTGACCCTATTGCAGCCGTGATGGCACTGAATTTTGTGGCGATGGACATCACCTTTTAGAACACAACCGGGCCACTTAAGGGCCAGGTTGTGGCTGTCCAAATTAGAGGTGACATGTCGGCGTTCTACCGCTGCAGCTTCAAGGCCTACCAAGACACTCTCCTAATGCAATATAACAAGCAGTGCCATCGCAAGGGCGATAGCTACGGCACGGTTAACATCATCTTTGGTGATGCAACAGTTGTCTTTCAGAATTGCAACACCTACCCTGCCTCCCCTTACTAGGTGGGGCCAACATAATCACCGCCTAGGGGTATGAAAAATAAGAATTGAAGACGAGCATGTCCTTTAAGAATTATACCGTCAGGGCGGCCAACGACGTGGCCTCAAGCAACACCTCTGTCTAGACAATTTGGGAGGCCATTTTCAAGGGTAGTATATATGTAGAGCTTCATGGATAGCCTGGGTGGGACAAATGGGGTAATACTCCACTGGACTTACTATACGACGGCACAAAGCGATACTTCCTAATACATGTGACCGCCGGTATATACGAGGAGTATGTGATAATTCAGAGTTAGTCCAGTTCGTTGTCAAGCGATTTTAAACAATATTTCAACACTTGTCTCACATGCAAGTTTCATGCAAGCCACGTGCAACCTACGTGCAGGTCACGAATGGGTACTTTCTAATACATGTGACCGCCGTTAAATACGAGGAGTATGTAACGATTCCTGATAACAAAAAATATCTGATGATGACCAGAGACACAATTAACTGAATGGTGATCACCGGCTACGTAGCGTGGTCGATAGGTGTACCACGGTCGCTTATGCAATAGAAGTAGCATTTTTATTGTATAATTTATCTTACCAATTCATTGACCTTATTGGAGCTGTGATAGAACCGAATTTTGTGGCAGTGGACATCACCTTCCAAAACACGGCTGGGCCACTTAAGGGCTAGGCCGTGGCTATCCAAACTGGAGGTGACATGTCGGCGTTCTACCACTGTAGCTTCGAAGCCTACCAAGACACCCTCCTTACGCAATATAACAAGTAGTTCTATCTCAAGTGCAATATCTACAGGACGGTTGACTTCA